TATTATATTATATTATATTATATTATATTATATTATATTATATTATATTATATATTGCATTATATTACATTACATTACATTGCCCTTCAACTTGAAATACTTCTAGAGACGCTTACAGAATAATTTGAACATTACAATGCCTGATCTCAGGCTTATAGTTTCAAAAATATCTAACGTAAGATGAAAAGGAAATGGTAAAAAAAAAAACATTTAAGCACCATGTAGACTAGATGCTTAAGTGTTTTTCTTTTTCTTTCTTGTAACAACTGGGTATATAATGCAAATATAATTCTCTAATTGTAATGTTCCTAAATGTTATTGCTCTTTGATTTAAAATTAATTTTGTAACTTCTTGCAGACCCATCTTCAGTATTGCCTTTTTCTATTCATTTGCTTGACACAAAACACATTAAATCCTGACTCGCTATAATCAATTCTGAGGCTTATATCTTGGTCCCAGAAACTCTTTTTATTCTGCTTTATCTGCTTAATAGGTATAATATGAGGAGCTGTTCATATTTGATGGAAACCAGTATGCAGTGGCCACATATGGGAGTGATTAAAACTACTGCCTTATGCTAGCTGCCTCTGTTACTGGGCAACATATTAAGGGAATTGTGTAAAATATAATTTGAACAGCATTTATTCTGAAGTACATTTGATTCTTCTATGGCATTACATGAATGGGTGTACACCTATATAGAACCTACATCAGGAACCTTTCAAAGCTAAGGCACTACCCTTATTGCGACTGTATAGAGCAGTTTCAGCTTCTTCTCTTTGTTGTGTTTGAGCCAACACATTAGCAGAGATTTAGGAACTTTCTCCATATTCAACTTCCTTTGAGGAAAATTCCATAGGACTGGGAGGAAAAAACTGTTTCTTCCTCTTTATCTTTTGCTTTTATAATTGTAAAAAATGGTCTTCAAGATTGTCAATTTGGCTTTTAGTTGCATCCATCCAATAAAGCCTTTGGGCTTGTGGCTGAATGCTCATTCATTCGCAGATGTTTCACAGTAGAAACTTCTTGCCTATTAATGGCCATTCACTTTGCCTCTTGTCCCTAAAAGGTGGTCGCCTTGTGAATTCCTGTGTGCACTGAAGTTCATTAAAAAGGAAAGAAGCAGTCAACCCTACTCTTGGGCTTTACCATCATAGGAAATGTTCTGGGCTGCAGTGCCTAGTACATATAGGCCTTGACACTAAGGCTGCTTAGGGATATTCCTTCATTTTAACACCACAATTGTTGATTCTGTTCAAGACCTCTAAGATAGGCTTTCATCTGCCATCCCTTTTCTAATCTATGACATCGTCACTATCTTAGAAGAATAGAAAGTGCTCAACATAGTCCCTTTCTTTACATCCAGAACAAAAGAAAAGAAGTACCATAAACTATCTTCTGAAAGGTGGTCTCCAGCTCTGAGCATGCTTGCCCCATTCTGTTTGCTGCTGCCTCCCTTGTCTGTTACTCCTTGACTGTAGACTGCTTCATTGGTACAGGTAGTCCCCAGGTTAAGAAGGCCCAGTTTATGGATGACCCATGGTTAAGAATGGAGCCAACTGTAGCAAAATTCAAGTTAAATACACAATGGTTTGAGTTAAAAACACAATGGTTTGAGTTAATTATACAATACTACTTATACAGTATTATACAATAATACTGTTTCAGCTTACATACATATTTTACTTAAGGACAGACCTTGGGAATGGAACTGCCTTCTTTTTGGAGGTCAAGGCAACATATATAGCACTCCACCCTCAAGTTTTTCCTACATCAGCAACTGTGTGAGGTTGTTGAGCTGAGAGAAAGAGTAACGCAAAGTCACCTACTGAACTTCTATGCTGAGAATGGACTTAATCCAACACCCCAGTCTTGGTCCAGCACTGTCATCTCACGTGGACTCTGACTTTACTTCTCATCATATATTTTATTGCCCTTCCTCCTGTGATGCTCAAGAATAATATAGTCAAGTGTATAGATTTGGCTCAGGGTTTTCCATGTCTCCACAACCAATACACCCCTAAAATCATGAATAGATACAGAGAATTACTGTGTTACTGCCTATATCTATAATGATTCCAGCATTACTATATTTCTGTAATACTTCAAAAGCACCATGATCTGTTCCTGGTGTCTCAATGGCTAATTATCAGTGCACTTGGCATTATTTCAGCATCTCATTTGCTCCCTCTCACACCAAGCACACACAACAGGCCTCAAATGCTAAATAATAGATCTGATCTGATTCCTCAGAAGTGCTTTTGCTGTTCTTGCTATAGAAGCTTGATCTGCTCTGTCATCAATAGAAGAGAATACGTGTAGCTCAGGGTTGAACTGTGGAGTCCTTGGGGTTCTCTGAGCTTGGTTGTTTTTTTGCAAATGTTTCATTACCCGGCTGGGTAACATGTTACCTAGCCAGGTAACAAAACGTTTACAAGAAAACAACCAAGCTCAGAGAACCCCAAGGACTCTGCCATCAGCTGAGGAAATTAGGCATTAAGCAGAGGAGCTGCTAGTGCTTTAGGCTTAAAGGTTTATCAACTTCAGTGTACCATAGATGGCCCCATTTTTGTTAGAATACATTCTGACAATTTCCTGAACCCATTCCACCACCACCAGTTTTACTTAAAGCTGGCATACTTGGCAGCTATCAGCATCTATAAACTACTTCCAAATAATTGGGGATATTGACAAGGTACAAGAGAGTAATATTTCATCTTTCAGCAACTTTCCCTAAATTTTATGGTAGTTGAAGCAATTCCGTGTAAGTCTTCACCTGAGCACACCTGGCATCAATTGACAAAGAGAGCCATAAATTGGATGGCTGAACTTTGTTTTAAAATTGCCAGTCATCATATCCATATGGCCTGCTATTAACATATTTTTTGTGGGAGAAAATGTCTTCATTTCTTTTTTATCTCCTTGACAACAAGAAAGAGGTAAATAATGTATTCCTTATTGAGCATATCTACTCTCAAAGCAACAGATACAAGTAGTTGAACATCAGAGGACTATAGTTCTATCATTAAGTTGGTTCTAAGTTAAGTTCTTTTGTCCTTCTGGGTGCTGCTGATTTATCTCAAGAGGCTTGGATTCAGAAATGAAAAAGCACATTCTCGTGAAATGATAGTTCACCTGTTATTTCACAGCATCAGAGGAGAATGAGGGTCTCTGCCTAATCTGAGACTAAATTCTTTTGTCAGGACTGAAATTCCAAATGCCTGCTCTTTCATCCCCCTCCTTCAGTATGGAAATTGCCATTCAGTGATGCCTATTTTCAGACTGTTACCTGACTGCAACATATATTACTTCACTTTGGTATCAACACTGTATCAGTTTTGTGTTCCTTTTAGCTAGATTAGTATTATAGTCTAACAAGGATCTAAGATATGATTAAAAACTTCAACCATAATTAAGTTGCCTAATTTAGTAAGTATCTGTCTCTTTGCAGAAGAACATCTAAGGCAATTCACATTCCAGGAAATTAATAAAGATGCCTTAATTTAAAAAAACAAAACAAAACTGCACTAGAAAAAACTTTCTGTAGGTCAAGGGAAGAAAAAGAATTCTAATTTAACTGAAAATATTTCTCAGATACTAAAAAAAAGAGAAAGAAAGAAAAACTAATTTTTAAAAGAAAGAACATTGATCACTGCAGCCTCCAGATCAAAGACTGTTAATTGTTAATTATTTCTACAAAGCAAACCCTGTAAATGGGTCATTTCGTCGTGAACATCTCAATTTATTTTAACGTCGTTTCAACATCTGTGGCATGTTTTTTCTCAGAATTTCCAAGCTGGGTACTGCTTTTGTTTTCATCTGAATCAATCACTAAAGCTTTTGACTTTACAATTTTCTGATTTAGAACATCAAGCTTGCTTCATCTCCCAAAAGTTTTACCTTATCCACTGCAGTTTTAACTAAATACATTCAGTCATTTTAAAAGACTATAAACCAGGAGTTAGAACTTTTAAAGCTATAAGCAACTTTGTGTATCCTTCTATCTGTCTGACTAGTTTGCCTTTTGGGTCAGGAATAAGTTCAGTTTCAGCTGTTCTTCAGCTCTGAGAAACTGTTCTCCTTGGAAAAGAGGAGGTTGACGCTTGCTTTCTTTATCTTCCTTGGACCCAGAGAGCAGTAATTTAAGCAAAGAAAGACATTTTCTACTTACCAATTAAGCATTCAGAGATTAGAGAAAGACCCTTAAACTTCAGAGATCATAGATAGAACATTGCCATACCAAACCAGAAATCCCCAAGACACAACAATCCTTAGAATCACTTGTCTAACACTCCCTGCAGTGCTGAAAGCCTTGAACTTGTACAGCTTAGATAATTTCAGACAATTCCATTGCAGAATGTCATGACAGTGGACTTTAAAGACTTTGGTGGCAGTCATGCCATCCCAAGAATTGGGAGACATACAGGTTTTGCATGTAAATCAACTATACTTACAACTCCATAGAGAAAAAAACAATTGAGGCTAGAAATTATCTTTCTGCCCAAAGTGGCCTTGGAATTTTATGTAAATCAGTCAGTGATGCTACCATCTGTTCCCTCTCTTTTCTCTGACATTGAGTAAGCTTTCCAGTCTCGGACATCAATTGCATATTAACTTTCCATCTGGACTGTAGTAAGGTCTTTGTCATAAATAAACTCTGCCAGTCTCTGCATTTATTGTTTTGCTTTTCATGACTGAAGGTAGAAATACCAGCTTCTGCATAACAGTTTGCCAGGTAGATTCAAGAAATCATCACTTTTTCATATGAGATTTCTGGGACTTCTTCAGCATAATGGAGAACAGCATTATCTACAGCTGGGAGTTTCCTCAACCTTAATAACACAGCTGCATATTCTCAACCATGTATGTTTATCATATTTATCATGTCAGAGTTGGTGCATTCTTTGAATGGGTAGCTATTTCTTTGCATACCTGTCATGCTCCTGATAGTTAACCTTACTAATCATCTATATATGTGATGCTCAGGGACTGTGATGAAGAACAGATTATTCACCTAATCGTTTTAAGTAGTCATCTATAGATGCATATGGCCCACTTTTCTTCCCTGCAACAAGTCCTATCATGACAAAAAAAGTTTAGGCCTGCATTGGTCCCAAGGAAGTGAGGAGAATGGCCAGAATTACCTTTTACATGCACAGTGAAGCATTTTTCCAACAAAATCCTCAGCTTTGGAAGATTCCTGATAATAGGTTCGGCATAGGTACATATCTATTTACGTGAATGCAATAACATGGAAATAAGCCTCATATTGCTACTTAATACTGCAGTCCCTATTAAAATGAGATATAGTATAGAAGAATATAGAAGTAATACATTGCCAGAAAAATTTCACCAGAGTATTTGGAAATGATTATTCGTACTTATAGTTTTTATTATCATTAATAATGGAAAATTAGCACATAATAATACTTAAAATGTGGTCTCAGATATTAAAAATGGATTGCATATACTATATTATGGTCCTCTGACATTATTCTCATTTTGGAGAACAAAAGTACAGGCCACATGGTGAGTTCATGGCAGAAAGAACATTGAAATGCAGGACTTCAAATTTTTAGCTTGGTCTTTTAATCAATTTTCTGTACCAGTTCTTAATTTTATCTTAAATACCAAAATTGTAATTTCCAGCTCAGAAGCATATTCATAAGAGCGTAGAGTGGGGCTTCAATTGCTATTCAAATATATAAATGGATACAAAGAAATAGGCACAGGAAAAAAATGTGGAAGAGTTTAGGTAGCACAGCAGTTGGTATGTTTTATAGCAGCTTTTTCTATTAATTTTTCTATTAAAAGTGCATTTTAAATGTTATGATATTAAATAGAGTTCTGCATGGTATAAAAAATTGTGTGTTTTTGCATGCAGGATTGGGTAGTAAAATGTGTTCTTAATCTTTTAAAGTATTGCTAATGTGTAAGATAAGTTTAAATATCTGTTTTCATTCCTACATTTTGTACACAGTGATCCATCACAAAGTGATTCCAGTACAAGGGATTTTTGGATGGATATGCAAGCTGTCACAATCTACCTCAAAAAGCTATCAGAGCAGAATCCTTCTGCTTCTTATTATAATGTAGAAGTTCTGAAGTATCAGGTAATTTTTATACTTTGGTGTTGGAAGTTGATGATTTTAAGAGGCCTAGATTGTATTGTTTCTTATGAGAAAAAAAAGGATTTATCATATTAATGTAGTTACTTTCAACATTTTTGAACATATTAATAGGAAACGTTTACCTCTATTTTTATGGGAATTTTTTAAACGTGTTCAAAAATACTTCAATATTCAGTAGCAGCATAAATTACCACCCCACCCCACCTACTAAGCATGTGAAAGCAGCAGATATTTACTCAACTTGCTGTCTGCCTTACAGAAATAAGCCTATTCAAAAAACACAAGAGTTGTGTATGCAGAGTGTACATTGACACAAAACTAAGCAGATAGCTTAGCGTCTGCATTTTTAAATGTACTTTGAAAACTTAATCTACTTAACCAACTAGTCAGCATAATCAACCAATCAGCTTAACCAACCAAACTTAACTAGCATAGAAAGTTGGAAATCTTTTTGAGGATTCCTAAGTTACTTCATTGAATTTGGGTAGGAGCACACTCGTTGCATGTTCTTTCTGATGTTGGGCTTCTGGGTGCAAACAACAATCAAAGTAGCCTTAGCAGGGAGGGTCTCATCTGCAGCTGAAGTAGGTAGAGGGGATTCTGTCATTAAGAGCAAGCAGCCAGAGGTATGCTGGGAGCCAGTATCTTCCAGCATACTGATGAGCTACCAACCAAAGCTGTCATCAGCACCATATCTCACATCATGTTCAATACCTTTGGAATATTCTGTTGTTTGCCCACTTTACCCTCTGCTTCAGGTATCTGTTGTGCTTGGGTGTAGGTGCATTGTTGCTAGTCAGTAGCGTGGGTTATCTTCTGCTGCCAGAAGTAACAAGAATGGTTGGATGATTCCTGAGCAGATGCTTAAGAATCTGTAACATCAAAATGTTTTCAGTGTTCTCACTCTTCCTGATCTGTACTTCAAGCAGCGTAGCAGGGGTCTTCATCCTTAAGTACCTATGTGCTACACTGCCTTCTGGCCTGCAGCATGCCTTCATTGGTGGTGGTGAGTTATCTGCTGATTTCTCTGGGCCACCAACATTGGCACCTGAACTCAGATTCAATAAGGGCCAGTTCCTCTTCTTCCTGTTACCCTCAGCCTCTGGATTATTAAAAGAGGAGAGTAGGCTGACTGGCAAAAAGTCAGCATCATGCCACTTCTGCTTCTGCTGGAAGGAATACCAATTCATAGCACCACCCCTCTTAAAAAATGCTCCATATACCATCAGCCTCCTGGCTCCCTTTACCAGCAGATCTTGCCCTCCCTACATGTAATATGTCTTTATATTCCACAGTCATGGTTTGGGAAGGAGATTTCCATACTGAGGAGAGGATGGAGGTAACTTTCTACCCCCTAAGCTCCAGGGAAAAACCATAAAGTGGCAGAATTATAAAAGGAAGCCTGAATTTGAAACAAAAGACTAGCATAGCACTACTATCTGTATCTGTACACATAGAGTACTATGTAATTGGAAGACTTTTTTTTCCCAAATAAGAAAGCACAATATTTTTGTAGTAATGAAGAGAATATCTTTTTAACAGTAAAAGAAGAAGGGGTAATTAAAAGGGCAGCAGAGGAAGAATCTCTCTTTCCTAACCAGTCTGCCTAGTACACTGTTACTACTGTTAAAACTACATTCAAAAGCACACTAAAAGAAGACTTTGGAAATAGGATATAAGTATATAGTATTGTCTGATACAGGTAGGCAGCCAGATACTAACAGATAGCAGTAGTAATCCACTGCAGTCATAGTTGATTGATCACAACACCCAATCTAAATTAGCAGTAGACTCTGTAATGCCATTAGAAGAGAATATATGTAGCTCAGGGTTGAACATTGACAGGGCAAGCTACTGAATCTAAACAGGGAGCAAATGCCACACTCACTAGCACACTCACTATGATGATACCTAGTTGGGTAATGAAATGTCTGTAAGCAAACAAGCAAGTTCAGAGGGTACCAAGGACTTTACAGACTCTGTAATGGCTCTCCAACCCTGAGTTGTATATTTATGTAACCATAACATTGTCCCAGCACCCCAAAGTTATCCCCGTCACTTCATTCAATCTCAGCAAATATTAGCAGGGATGTATTTATCAAGCAGTAATCCTATGGTGGAAACAAAAGACAAATTAATTAGAAGCCACAAAACAAAAATCTAATTGTAGCATGCAGATTTTGACCCTAGCACTAACTACACCTCAGAGTGAAGCTAAATGCACAAAAAAGGTTCTCCAGCTGATTTAAGTGATCATGTGGTACACATTATTTTAGGTATCCTGGGATCTTAAGCTGTTCAGGGTTTTAAAGATAAGAAACAATATTTTGAATTGAGTCTGGAAATGATTAACAACTGCTAAAAAGAGAGAGAGAATGAAGTCAGCTGCTCAAAGAATCCAGTTAAAACTTAAGCAATTGTATTTTTTACTAGGTGAATTTTCTAAATTCTTTCAGATAGTCCTATGTACAACAGTTCACAGTAATATACCCTTGAGTAACTAAAGCATCTGTGAACATGAAAAGGATCAATTAATATACTAGCATGAGCTGGGCAAAAACATTCCTAATCACAGCTGCCCTTGGAGACTTCCAAAAGCAAAACTCAGTACAGGAACATTTCCAGTCTATGAATGTGACCTTTTGAATGGAGCATACAATCCCCATAAAAACAGGTAGATCCCTTTTCACTAGATGTACAGTCCTGTTGACCAAAACTACACCCACCTTGACAGCATTTTGTTTCCATTTTTAGTCCATTGGTAACAGCAGTTATTCAGAACTACATTTTGAACACTTCAAGAAAAAGCAGAACCAACAGTGCTCTCAAGTCCCTTTCCAGGCTAGATGGTCAGAAGGGCATCAACAATAGTTAAGAGTACTGAAAGTGGCTGAGACGTTCCAACAGATTCAGCCGAATCAACAAAAGAAAAATCAGCATTCCTCTTTTCTAGTTCCTGGTTTAATCATTTCCCAGGGCAATCAAAGCTATTAGACCCCAAAGATCCTGCTTTGAAACTTACAATATTTAACAATTTCCTATTACATAACATTTTTAAATGTAGATAATTCCAACCTGAGGCAGTTAACACTACTTCTCTATCTCATAATTATTAATACCAATAATGAAAACATTTCAAAATCTGTATTTTTGTAAAACTAACTCTAATAATAATTGGCTTTTTAGAGGCCAAAGGTATATGAAGTTGAAAATGAACTTTGGAAATTACGGGATTTTCAGACTGATCCTAAAAGTTTTTTTTTTATTATTATTGTTTTCAAAGGTATTGTCAAATGGTATCCAGTCTACACCTCTGAATCTTGCCACATATTGGAAATGCAATGCTAGCACAACTGATGTAAGAGTTGATTACAAATACAATCCAGCATCCATGGCAGTGCCAAGTACGCTATCCAATCTACAAGTCATCGTACCAGTTGATGGAGGTGTAATAAACATGCAATCACTTCCACCAGCAAAATGGTAACTTTTTTTATTGATACTGCATTAAATTCATGTTAGGATACTTATACTTGTCCTGTCCTCTAAAACTGTTTCTGAAATGCAGTGATTATTGATGCTCGAAGCAATTCTCGTAGAAATGAAAGAGGGAAACCTTGGGAAACCAATGGGGACTTTATGATGGGGAGGTATGACAGAAGCTGGGCTGATACATAAGAAGAAATTTTCTGGTGAGCCCCTGCCTTGGTACCTTGGATTGGATTGTGGGATCCTTGGCCACCTCCTGCTGCTAGTTAATACCAGGCCTGTCTGGAATAAGATTTAATTCATCCACAGTATTGTGGTGGATGAACAGCCCTACCTGATATATATAACCGAAACCTGGTTGGATCTTGGTGGGGATGTAGCTCTGTCAGAGATTTGCCCTTCTTCCTTTTTGGTCTCACAGTAGCCTAGGAATGAAGGGTAGAAAAGGTTTGTGACAGTGATTGTTCTTGATACATTTGTGGGATGAGGTGTGCTGCTCCAGGGCTGCAGGGGTGCTCCAGGGCTGTGAAAGAATGTAGACCTGGCCTTGGGAATGAAGAAGAAATGAGCAAATCATTAAGGGGGGCTTTCAAGATTGTTGTCAGCCCTTTGAGGTAGGCAGGGTCAAGAAACAGGCATGGCAAGGATTCCAGTAATCTCTTTTTTATTGTAGGGTAGAACAGAATCTTGAAAGCCTGCCAGGGTTTCACAGTCAGGCTATTTTGAGTTTCTTTCACACACTCTTTCTCAGGACTGTGTAGTCTTTTTTGAAAGAACCCCTTTAAAATTTGATCATTCCTTCCTCATTCCCATTCTTCTCAATGAATGAGAGTGCCTTTATGTGGCACTGGGCTGTAAGGACAAGCTAGGGTGACTCTTGGTGTACTAGCCAACTCACTATCTAGCAAGGGCCCTTTCTGAGTTCATGGATCATATCACAGGACTGGTAGTGGAGGTTTCCAGGCTGTTAATGCTGGGGGTGTATAACATCTTTGACCTTGGGTGGGGTCTAAAGGTGATTAAGATTCCATGGTGACCATGGGCTTGTCCTAAGTTATCTCAGCCTGACTCATATGGGTGGTAAAGTGGGAGACCTTCTGTTCACTTCAGAGCATATGGTGCTTAATTGGAAGGTGGGGGATATTGTCCTCAGTCCCTTGCTGTGATTAGATCACGACTTTGTGAAGCTGCAAATACTGCTATTCTTGATCTCGGCAAGGATAATGGATGAATTCATATGCTTATAACCTTTTGGAATAGGGCTTTGGGTGTAATATTTCCTGAATGGTCTCTGTAACTGTTAGTACCAGGGTGTTCCTCGGTTTACCAAGTAGCTCTAGGAAATGAAACAGTTGAAGAGATTCCTAAAGCACAGTTGGAAAAAAGCAGTGAATTTGATCAAGACATGAACCCATATTAAGGCCAATACTACAACAATAAGAGTGTCAAGTGTTCTTATTGCCCCTACAAACTCACATCCAGTGGCCCTGTTCTCATTACTTGTTTCCTTTTGCGAAGAAACTGATGGAACAGTGTTTCTGCTGGTCGCTGTGTCATGTTTGTGAAATTCTTCACAGATAAAATTTCTCATATTCAGAGCAGAATGCTCCTTGGGCAGAATTGAGACTGGAGATTGGGGTAATCTTGCAATGTTATTTGGGAGTTGAACTTGTAGAGCTGAGAAAGTGAATAGGATTCTTTGTAGTATGAGTAGGCTAAATCCATGCCACTCCAGGCTCTTTTTGTGAGATGGGCGGTATCTAAATTTGAAATATAAAAATAAATAAATTTGGGCTGTTGTGGGAATGGCGGGGTGAGGAAGGGTGTTGGAATTGTATGGTCGGATCCAAGAGGTGTTGAATGCTTTTTAGAGGAGAGGGTGTAGCGCAATTGGTCTTGAAAAAGGCAGTGTGAGGTGCTCTCTCTTGGAGGTCATCTCTCAATCCCGGTATACTTGAGATTTTTTACCTAGTATCCATCCCTCCTTTTCTGGGAAAGGTGTTAGAGAAAGTATTGGGGAAATAGCTATAGAGGTTCCTAGATGAAATCGATTATCTGGATTCCTACAGTCTGGATTTAGGTCTAGGCATAGGACAGAGACAGCATTGGTCCCATGAACATATTTGACATCTTAGCAGTTTCTGATACCATTGACCATGTTCTTATTTCAGGACTAGGAGTTGGAGGCACTGTTTTGCAGTGGTTCTGCTCCTATCTTAGTGAGCAGTTTCACTTAATAATAATGGGAGATAAGCAGTTGAGTTTATGGTTACTCCACTGTGGTATTCCTTAGGGTTCAACTCTTCCCATTACTATTTAACATATGTATGAAGCTGCTGGAAAAGGTCTTCCACTGGTTTGGGGTCAGATACCAACAGCATGCTGATGACACTGAATTATACATCAACACTCTAGCCTGAGCCAGAGATGCTTTGGAAATGCTGAGCTGGTATCTGGAGGCTGTGAGAGCCTGGATGGGCCAAAACAAGTTTAGGCTCCATTCCAGCAAGACAGAATTACTGTTTGTGCAGAAACATCTTGGCTCATTGGCAGTCCTGGTGATTGCTTTGGAAGGGATCACTTTCTCTCTGAAGGAGCAAGTCCACAACTTGGGAATTACCCTGGACTGAGGCTCTTATTAAAACAACAGGTGGAAGTCATGGTCAGTGTAGCCCTGATGAACCAGTTGTAGCCCTGTTAAGACCGTGAAGTCCATACCCACATTACCATCCATATCAACTATATTGGGCTGCCTTTGACCATGTCTTGGAAACAGCATTAGGGCAAAATGCAGCAGCCAGGATGTTAGCAGATAAGAACTATTTTTGTCATATAATACCAGTTAATTGGCTGCTTCATAGGCTACCATTTAGTTTCTGAATCTAATTCAGAGTCTTGTTTATCGCCCATAAAGCCCTGTATGCCTTGGCTCCAGGTTACCTTTAAGACTGTCTCTTCCAGGTGGAATATCTAATATCTGTTTGAGAATGGAGTCCGATACATACTTGCTTATTACACTTTTAATTGCTTGAAAACTTGCCTAAGAGAATAGATCCAGAGTAGCAGTATGGAGAACTGCCAATATATGAAGATTTTATTTTTCCTTACAGGAACTCAGAGCAGATGAAAGCTTTGTGGAAATTAGCTAGTATTTCAGAAAAATCAGAAAATGGCGGTAAGAAGAAATGTTTTAAGTTAACTATTATAGATAAGAAAACTACCACTGGTGTTTTTAAGTTGGACAAATAATCAATTAAAAACTAACACAGAGTATCCTGCGGTGCCCTTGTAAATTGTAATATATATTATAAGTTATTATTTGAGGGGCCTTTTAGAAAGAAGATATCCAAATATATTCTGTATATGGAAATGTAAATAATTGTTTTTCTTTCCAAACATATTTTATGATGGATTTTTCTCATCAACACTATCATATTTTGCAATATGAAAACTGGCATTGAATCATATAATCCAATTTTTGCTTTAATTATACCATAATAAATTATGAATAAAAGTACATACTATATTGAGTTGCAGAAAAATAATAGTTTTGCCAACTTATCTCAGTACAGAATAGCCTTAACAACACAAGAAAAAAATTAAGTCGATTTAAGCTACCGTCAGTTTAGAATGCTCGATCCCAATCAGTGTTGATTGGGGGGCGAGAGGTCCAGCTCGTGGCCCCTCCTTTGTGAGGTGCCCCAGGGCTCAGTATTTTCTCTGCTCCTTTTTAACATCTACATGAAATCACTGGGTGAGATCATCTGCCACCATGGGATGAGGTATCATCAATATTTAGATGATACCCAGTTATACATCTCCATCCTGTGTGAGGTGAGTGATGCTGTGACTACCCTTTTGTGGTGCCTGGAGGCTGTGGCGGTCTGGATGGGGTGCAACAGGCTTCAGCTGAACCTTGGTAAGACAGAGTGGCTATGGATTGGAGGCCCCTCTGTATCCAAGGATTTGCCATCTTTGGTTTTATATAGGGTTGCACTGCCCCGGACAGACCCCGTGCATAATCTGGGGGCCCTCCTGGACTCACAACTCCTGCTTGAGGAGCAGGTGGCAGTCGTGGCCAGGAGGGCTTTTGCCCACCTTCATGTGGTACCCCAGTTATACCCTTTCCTAGATCAGGAGGCTCTCCGGTCAGTCACTCACGCCCTGGTCACCTCTCGGCTAGACTATTGCAATGTGCTCTACATGGGGCTACCTTTGAAGAGTATCCGAAAGCTACAGCTGGTTCAAAATGCAGCCACGCGGACAATTTTGAATGCCCCAAGAACAGCATGTATAACACCTTTACTGCGCAAGCTGCATTGGGTCCCAGTCTGCTTCTGGGTCCAATTCAAAGTGTTGGTTATCACCTTTAAAGCCCTACATGGCGTGGGTCCAGGGTACCTGAGGGACCATCTCGCCCCTGTCACATCAACCCGTCCCACCTGATCAGGCAGAGAGAGCATGTTGCAGACCCCATCAGCGAGAGAATGTCAGCTGGCAGGGCCCAAGAGGAGAGCCTTCTCTGCTGTTGCCCCCACCCTTTGGAACATTCTCCCCCCAGAGGTGCAGCAGGCCCCTACACTCCCGGCCTTCCGGAAAGGATTAAAGACCTTGGCTCTGCCAGCTTGCATGGGGTGATAACAATTTTACCCAATCCTGGGGTGGCTGGTGCCTTGATGATGCTCCCTGAGTGACTGCCAATTATTCTTGGACCTATTTATTTTCTATTTATTAATAGTAGATTGTAATTTTGTAATTTTAATTAATTCTGTTTTGTAAACCACCCGGAGTTGTTTCAACGAGATGGGCAGTGACAAATTTGATATATAAATAAAAAATAAAATAAAATAAGTAGTCTCAGATACGTAAAAGAATTCAAGAACAATTGCAACCCCAATTAATACAAATGCCAATAGACACATGAGATCCTATAGGAAATACAGTGAGGCAAAAAAGTATTTAGTCAGCCACCAATTGTGCAAGTTCTCCCACTTAAAAAGATGAGAGAGGCCTGTAATTTTCATCATACTCAGCATTCTCTCTCCTCCAAACACGACGAGTTGAGTTTAGACCAAAACGTTACTCAGCATTCTCTCTCCTCCAAACACGACGAGTTGAGTTTAGACCAAAACGTTACTCAGCATTCTCTCTCCTCCAAACACGACGAGTTGAGTTTAGACCAAAACGTTACTCAGCATTCTCTCTCCTCCAAACACGACGAGTTGAGTTTAGACCAAAACGTTACTCAGCATTCTCTCTCCTCCAAACACGACGAGTTGAGTTTAGACCAAAACGTTACTCAGCATTCTCTCTCCTCCAAACACGACGAGTTGAGTTTAGACCAAAACGTTACTCAGCATTCTCTCTCCTCCAAACACGACGAGTTGAGTTTAGACCAAAACGTTACTCAGCATTCTCTCTCCTCCAAACACGACGAGTTGAGTTTAGACCAAAACGTTACTCAGCATTCTCTCTCCTCCAAACACGACGAGTTGAGTTTAGACCAAAACGTTTTTAAGTGGGAGAACTTGCACAATTGGTGGCTGACTAAATACTTTTTTGCCCCACTGTATTTGAAATTACTGCAGTTAATCGAATAGCCTAGTAAATTAACAAATTATTGTAAAATGACAATATATTTTGGTATAGAAAAATACATAATTATCAATGCATACTATATCATCAGTTTATAGTAACAGTCTATGTTAAACTCCAGCCACTGTTATGCCTGCTATAATAAAATTGGCTGATTGTGTTAGTATTTTGCAGCAACTATAATGAAGGATTTTGTGGCACTTTGAACATTAAAAGAAATATTATTGGATACATTTTTGTAGATCTTTGTTTTGGCTGTATTATCAAGTAATCAAAGTATCAATTGTACTTATGCTAATAAGCAAACTCCTTTATTTTTTCTCTCTCTCTCCTCTGAATAGGCTCTGGCTCCCTCAGAGCTAAATTTGACCTTTCTGAAGGACCCAGTAAGCCAACAACACTTGCAGTGCAATTTATCAGTGAGGGAAGCACTCTTTCTGGAGTAGATGTTGAATTAGTAGGCACTGGCTATCGGCTTTCCTTAATTAAGAAGAGGTTTGCCACTGGTAAGGATAATGTCCTTTTCAGGATAACCTATAATGTGCAATGTCTGACATTCAGTATATCATTATAGCAGTCAGAATCATAAGTGTAAAACTTTTTGTAATGGGTGTGTACAGCAAATTAACTCGATAACCCTCCATAACCCTCCATAACAACAACCCTCAGTTGCTAAAGTGTGTTCTACTTTAATGAGAATCTGTATACTAATTTTGCATCTTGGTTAAAAACACTCTGTGTGTGTTGTATAGTGACATGTTTATATACAGTACTGTGCAAAGGTTTTAGGCAGATGTGAAAAAATGCTGTAAAGTAAGAATGCTTTCA